GCGTGGTTGGCGAAGCCCTTGAAAGCGAAGGGTAATAGATAACGGGGGGTAATGAGGACGAAAGGGGTCGGAGGAAGGGAGGGGGGGGGGGGGGGGGAAAAAAGGAGGGGCGACGCTTTGCGCTGCGAGTGGTGAATGAGCTTGCGCCATGGCTTGCGCAAGCCACCCCAACGCAGGTCAACCATAAGCTTCGCCATGGGTCGCGCCATAAACAGCGCCACGTACCACCCCACTGGAAGAAAAAGAAAAAAATCGTGGATACCCCCACTGGAGGACGCACAACTGCGAACTGGTACCAGAAACAAATATCGTGGAACTCGGAAAAGAAACGGGGTGCAGGGGGAATGGGGCGGAAGGATCGCGGAAACTGCAACCGTGTCGAGAGGGGCGCGGGGACGTGGAATGGATTGGGATGAAATGGACAAGAGTAGGGTCCCAGGAGGAGGAGCGGCAAGGAGTGGAGATCAGGAGCCCGGGGGGGGGGGGGGGGGGGGGCGGTGGAGCGGGGGGCGCACGGAGGAATCTGGAGGAGGGACTGGGAATAATTTGGGAGAAAAGCGGAATGCGAGCGGGAAGGGATGGAGATTGTTGGTGTGGGATGGGGTGGCCTGGGGAGGAGTGGGCGGAATGCGAAGAACTGAGGAACAGCACAATGAAATACGAACGACATGAGAATGACGATGAAGGGAACGAGTAGAGGAGACTGGGAAAAGAACGTTGAGAAGTGGGGGCAGGTGGATGCGAGCGGAGACTGGTGCGGAAACAAGGCGCGGGGGGATTGGAAGGCACCCGAAAGCCTCCTATGACCTCTGGGGGGCCTCGGAATGGCCCCGATGACCACCGAGCAATTCCAGAGGCTCCAAAAACCTGCGGGTACGCAGGCGGGAGCCGTTGTTGGCGCGGACCACGACGAGCGCGAACGAGCGGGGGCCACGAAGGGCATACATACATGGGGCCGCAAAGGGCAGCGACAGAGCCGCTGAGGGCAGAAACGGGGCCACGAAGTGCAGAGAGGGGGCCACGAAGAGCGACAGCGGGGCCACGAAGGGCGTGCATATGGGGCCACGACGGGCGCGAACGTGCAGGGGCCACGAAGGGCATACATATATGGTACCAGAAAGGGCGACAGCGGGGCCACTGAGCGCAGAAAGCGGGCCACGAATGGCAGCGAGGGGGCCACGACGGGCGACAGCTGGGCGACGAAACGCATGAGTATGGGACCACGAAGGGCGCGAGCGAGCGGGGGCCACGAAGGGCAATTAATCTGGGGCCACAGAGGGCAGCGACGGGGCCGCTGAGGGCAGAAACGGGGCCACGAAGGGCAGAGAGGGGGCCACGAAGGGCGACAGCGGGGCCACGAAGGGCACGCATATGGGGCCAGGACGGGCGCGAACGAGCGGGGGCCACGAAGGGCATTCGTATATGGGGCCGCAAAGGCGACAGCGGGGCCACTGAGGGCAGCAAAGGGGCCACGAAGGGCAGCGAGAGGGCCACGAAGGGCGACAAGGGGGCTACGAAGGGCATGCGTATGGGGCCACGACGGGCGACTGCGAGCGGGGGCCACGAAGGGCATATAATGCGGGGCCACAGTGGGCAGCGACGGGGCCAATGAGGGCAGCAACGGGGCCACGAAGGGCAGCGAACGAAGGCGACAGCGGAACCAGCACGGGCAGCGAGGGGCATCGAAGGCGGGCGAAGGGCAGCGAGCGACGACTGCAGTCCCTAACGGGCTGGTCGGGCGGGCAAGCCCTGACGGGCGGGTCAAGCGGGCGGGTCGTTGAAGCGTCAATTCTGCTTGAACCGCCAGGCAATATGTAGCGGGAGCGCGATTCCTGAGTGTCGTGGCGCGGCATACGAATAAATTGTTAGGAAGTACCAGGCGGGAGCCGCGATTCGGTGGTAAATTGCGAGGAAGTCCCAAGCGAGAGCGCGATTCTTGCAAAAAATGTGAAGAAATACCAAGCGGGAGCCAAGATCTGGTGGCACAGTGAAAGGAAGTCCCAAGCGAGAGCGCGATTCTTCAATACATTGTTAAGAATATCATGCGGGAGCCGCTGTTGTTGTAAACCGGGGGCCAACGACACAGTTTGACCCTCAAGACTTTCCCTGCTAAAAAACAATGCGCGAACCCCTGGAAAGGGCACTTCAATCGAAAACAATCAATGTGCACCTGACGGGGGGATCAACAATAATTATTCTTCTGAAGTGAGAATTCAACAACAACAACAGCAACAACAACAATCAGTTTAAGACGGTTCGCCCTTATCAGCTCGAACATCCAACAACGCGTATTTCCCAGACCTTCGATACCCGCCCTCTTCGTCTTCGATCGAACCCCTTTTGGGGGGTATACCTTTCTCCCTGCAGGCCGGGCCCCGGCAAGCGGCGGGGCGGCCGCGGACAGTCGGCCTGGCCAGCGGCAGCGCTGATCGGCGGGGCGGCCGCGGACCATCGACCCGACCCCAAGAGGGACGGACAGGGGACTGACCATGACGACGACGACGACGACGACGACGACGACGACGACGACGACGACGTCGACGACGACGACGGCAGCGACGACGACGACGAGCGAAAGCGAGAGCGAGAGAGAACGGCAGCAGGGCCACACGGACACGAAGTAGGCCACGAAGGGCGAAAGCGGGAACACGAAGGGAATGCGTATGGGGCCACGAAGAGCGCGAATGAGCAGGGGCCACGAAGGGCAGATAATGCGGGGCCACAGAAGGCAACGATGGGGCCACTGAGGGTAGCAACTGGGCCACGTAGGACAGTGAGGGCCACAAATGGCGACAACGGGGCCACGAATGGCATGCACATGGGGCCACAACGGGCGCGAACGAGCGGGGGCCACGAAGGGCATACGTATACTGGGCCGCGGAGGGCAAGAACGGGGCCACTGAGGGCAGAAACAGGGCCACGAAGGGCAGCGAAGGGGCCACGAAGGGCGACAGCGGGGCTACGAAGGGCATGCATATGGGGCCACCACGGGCGCGAACGAGCGGGGGCCACAAAGGGCATACGTATATGGGGCCACGAAGGGCAGCGAGGGGGCCACGAAGGGATGCAACGGGGCCACGAAGGGCAGCGAGGGGGCCACGAAGGGCTGCAACGGGGCCACGAAGGGCAGCGAGGGGGCCACGAAGGGCAGCGAGAGGGCCACGAAGGGCTGCAACGGGGCCACGAAAAAAAGCGAGGGGGCCACGAAGGGCTGCAACGGGGCCACGAAGGGCAGCGAGGAGGCCACGAGGGGCTGCAACGGGCCCACGAAGGGCAGCGAGGGGGCCACGAAGGGCTGCAACAAGGCCACGAAGGGCTGCAACGGGGCCACGAAGGGCAGCGAGATCCCGATTCCTAGGTAATCTGTGAGGGAGTCCTAAGCGTGAGCGCGACTCCTGGGTGCCTGGGTGTCGGGAGCGCGGCGCTTGAATCAATTGCAAGAAATTCCAACGCAAGGGCGCTATTCTTCAGTAAATTGCAAGCCGGGGGTCATAACTAAATTGTTGTTTAACCCGGGGGCCAGGGGCCCAGTTTGAGCCTCAAGACTTTCCCTGATAAAAAACAGGGTGCGAACGTCGAGGGGCACACTTTGATTGAGAAAAAACAGTATGCACCGGTGGGGGGGATCAACAATGATTATTCTTCAGATTCAGAAATCAGAGTTCAACAAGCAGAATCCTCACCACGGATTCCATCATCAGCCACGCACCCAGGGACAATCAATCACCGTTCAGCACCCTCACTCTGATTATTATCATTCGTGTTCGTATTCTTACTCTGCGTCAGACTTGGTTTTTTGTTCGCCGGCTTCGTCCTACTTCTCCTCCTCCTCCTCCTTCTCCTCCCTTTCCCTTCTTGTTCTCCTCATTATCCTCTTCCTCATGTGCTCCCCGAAGGGTTTCGACGACAGCTGGGGGAATCCATGGTCCGATAGCTTGGCAAAACTCTAGCCGCTAGCCATAGTGTGGGCCACATAGGCGTCCTCGATAATTTGAAATCCCGAAACGGGCGCATGCGAGGCGAGCGCGAGGAGTTTGGGGCTTGGGGTAGGACTAGCAAAACATCGCTGACTTTAGGAGGTGCCCGAAATGATAAACCCGTACGCAGACGTGACGTACATTCGACGAATTCTGCTCCTACAATGACCGACGCTTCCACATGACGTCAACAAACTCAGAGGCGGCCCAGGGCGGTACCAGAACGGCCCAAGACGGCTCAACGACGGCACCGACACCGATCGCGCAGACCGTGTCTAGTTGAAGGGGGTCAGATCGTTCTCCAAAAATGCAGAACACCCCCACATTTTCTGCACCTCACCTGGAAGCTCCGTGTTTGCTGCTCCTGGAAGCTCCCGGACGCCTCGAGAGCCTTAACGTGTTCCCCAGACGCCTCGGATGCAAATCCACACTGGCCTCGAACAGCACGCGATTACACGATGAATCTAAGCCAACGAGGTTGGCGGGCTTGGCGTCTGCCCGACCGCATTACGGCTTCGAGTAAACAATGAATACATGGCAAGCCTGCACAAACCAGATGTGGTCGGTAGATGAGGCGGCAGCGCGATCGAACGACCGCGCGCAGATTCCTCCTCCCCGCCCTCCTCCTCCGCTCCTCCTCGTCATCCCCCTTCCATCATGCTCGGCTCGTTCACCTGCCCTCTCCACCTCCCATTCCTCCTTCTCCTCCATATCATCGTCCTCCCGTCCAACTCATATTCATCCTCCTCGCCATCATCACAATAACCATCACCATCACCACCATCACCATTATCATCATCACCACCAGCATCAGCATCGTCATCATCAACAACATCGGCATCAGCATCAGCATAATCATCAGCAGCGTCATCAACAGCATCACCATTAGCATCACCATCACTCTCAACACCATCATCATCATTATAACCCCTCCCCCCTCACTCTTCCTCATCCTGCCCCCTCTTCCTCCCTCTCCCCGATCACATGCGGATGATAACACAAGCGGGATCGGACGACGCGCGCCTCTTCCTTCTCGTCCGTGTCTACCTCGGCATCCTCCTGCAATCAATTGGGATACCGCCGTTCCACACCTGCCTCTAGCATCATGGAGACGGGCCCCCGGGAAAAGGGCCATATACGTTTTGAAAGATGTTCTGGCCTCTGGGGGTCTCCACGTGCCCGAAGACTGCCCAACACGCCTCAAATTGAAACACCACTCTGGGCAAAACCCCAAGGTCTGAGACCCGCTTTCCTGAGGACCCGCTGCCTGCCTTCATTCACCTGCCTCCCGCAGAAAAAGGAGGATCATTCCACAACTTCGGATGTAATGCGTAAGTCGGGCCCTTTCGCCCGCGCTCACCATGGGTGCAGGTGGTGCTGAGCGAGTGGGTGGGTGGAGGGGCGCGGGAGGGAGGGAAAGACTGGAAAGCGTAAGAGGGGTCTTGGTTGGAGGAAAGGACGAGGGGGAGCGGAGCAAGCTGGAACCAGAAGGAAGAGGGGCGCCGCAAGGGATGGAACCAAAAGCCAGTGCCTTCGCACGTATTCCCCGCCCCCCCCCCCCCCCCCAGGTGCCACACCCTCCCGCGGCTGGCTCCAGAGACTTCTTGCCGCCGTCAGGAGGCGTGGGCACCGCAAGCGCAGGGGGGCCTGCAGGCGCCTGCAAGCGGCAGCGCGGTGCACCGTTTCAAGATCCTCGTCGTCGTCGCCCTCCTCCTCCTCCGCCTATTCCTCTTCCTCCTCCACATCGTCCTCCTCCTATTCCTCCTCCTCCTCTTCCTCTTCCTCCTGCTACTACTAGGTGATCGGGTCGGAGGCCTCAATGTTTTCGCATGCGCGATGTTCGAAAGCAGAGGCCGTGACGACGACACCGATGAATGTTTCCTGGCAACGCTAGCGCCTTCCTCTTGTGCGCTCCGAGCGAAGGAGAATGAGGAGTATGAAGAGGAGGATGAGGAGCGCGAAGGGCCAAGGGTACGAGGAGCAGATGGAAGGCAGGGGGAAAAGGACGAGAAGGATGAGAAGGACGAGGAAAATGAGGATTAGGCGGAGCGATCATCTTTTATAGATACATGAAAACTTGATGTTCCAAACAGAAATTGTGAGGCTCCCAACGCAAAAACGAAACCATCATCTCGCAACTTCGTCGGCGCGGACATCGTCGGCCTGGTAGTCTGAAACAAATCAAGTATAATCGAACAGCACGAAAACCAAAATCATCAAACAAGAGACACTGCGAGTGTCCCCCAACAAAAAAGTCCGCCGACCCCAGATGCGTGTGAGGAAAAGCGGAGTCTTTTTTGCCGCCGATGCTGAGCTTGTCTTGCCCGCGTCGACTGCATCCCAAACTTCGTACCCGCCACCACGCCCCCACCACGTTCCGGCACCCCCGCGCCACGAGGGCTTAGTTCTTCGGACACCCTCACCCCGCGAGCGTCCTGGCACACCCAATCCACGAGCTCATCTGACTCTATCCCAAGGTTCGTACCCATCACCACGCGCCCAACAAGTTCCAGCACCCTTTCCCCACGAAGGCTCAATTCTTCGGACTCCCCCACCCTACGAGCGTCCCGGCACCCCGGATCCACGAAAGCTCAATTCTCGGGACCCCCCCTTCCAAAATCACGCGCCCGCACCCCCCCCCACGTCTGACACTCGCACCCTGCTGGATTCTCTGTCTGTCGTGTTTTAGCGGCCCCCACCCTGCAAAATCACGCGCCGGCATCCCCCCACCACGTCTAACACGCCCACCCTGCTGGACCCTCTGTGCGTCGTGTTTTCGGGCCCGCCCACCCTGCAACATCACGAGCCTGCACCCCCCCACCACGTCTGACACCTGCACCCTGCTGGATCCTCTGTGCGTTGTGTTTTACCCCCCCCACCACGTCTGACATCCCCACCCTGCCAGACCTCTGTGCGTCGTGTTTTAGGGGCCCTCCACCCTGCAAAATCACGCGCCGGCCCCCCCCCACCACGTCTGACACCCACCCTTCTGGATGGACCCTCTGCATGTCGTGTTTTACGGGGCCCCCCACCCCGCAAAATCACGCGCCGTCCACCACGTCTGACACCCCCATCCTGCTGGACCCTCTGCGTATCGTGTTTTACGGGGCCCCCCACCCTGCAAAATCACGCGCCGCCCCCCCCCCCCCACTACGTCTGACACCCCCATCCTGCTGGACCTTCTGTGCGTCGTGTTTTAGTATCCCCCCCTGCAAAATCCGCGCCGGCACCCCCCCACCACGTCTGACACCTCCGTCCGTCTGGACCCTCTGTGTGTCGTGTTCTACGGACCCCCAGGCACCCCTCCAACACGTTTGACACCCCCACCCTGCTGGACCCGCTGTGTGTAGTGTTTTACCCCCCCCCACAACGTCTGACACCCCCACCCTGCCAGACCCTCTGTGCGTCGCGCCCCACACCCTGCAAAATCACACGCCAGCACCTCCTTATCACGTCTGACACCCCCACCCTGCAGGATGGACCCTCTGTGTGTAATGCCTTAGAGGCCCCCCACCCTGCAAAATCACGCCCTGGCAGCCCTCCACCACGTCTGACACCCCCACCCTGCTGGAACCTCTGGGCACCCGCTATTCAGGGCCACCCACCTTGCAAAATCCTTGCCCGGACCCCCCCCCCACTGCGTCCCAACCACGCCAGACGCCGCCAGCCCCCTGGGGCGTCTGGGCATCCGTTCTTCAGGGCCACCCACCCTGAAAAATCCACGCCGTGACCCCCCCCCGCCGCGCCCCAAACGCGCCTGACACCGCCATCCTCCTGGGGCCTTTGGGCATCGGTTCTTCAGACCCACCCACCCTACCCCCACCACACCTGACACCGCCAGCCTCCTGCGGCCTCTGGGCATCGGCAGCTCTTCAGGGCCACCCGCCCTGCAAAATCCTCGCCAAGATCACCCAACCGCGCCCCCACAACGCCTGACGCCGCCAGCCTCCAAGGGCGTCTGGGCATCTGGTCTTCAGGGCCACCCACCCTGCAAAATCCTCGCCGGGACCCCCCCGCCGCGCCCCAACCACACCTGACACCGCCAACTTCCTCGGACATCTGGGCATCGGTTCTTCAGACCCACCCACCCTGCCCCCACCGCGCCTGACACCGCCAGCCTCCTGGAGCCTGCGGGCACCCGTTCTTCAGGGCCACCCACCCTGCAAAATCCTCGCGGGGATCCCCCCGCCGCGCCCCCACCACGCCTGACACCGCCAGCCTCCTGGAGCGTCTGGGCATCCGTCTTCAGGGCAAGGCCACCCACCCTGCAAAATCCTCGCCAGGACCCCCCCACCGCGCCCCAACCACGCCTGACACCGCCAGCTTCCTGGGACCTCTGGGCATCGGTTCGTCTGGGCATCCGTTCTTCAGGGCCACCCACCGTGCAAAATCCTCGCCCGGAACCCCCCCACCGCGTCCTAACCACGCCTGACGCCGCCACCCCCCTGGGGCGTCTAGGCATCCGTTCTTCAGGGCCACCCACCCTGCCCCCACCGCGCCTGACACCGCTAGCCTCCTGGTGCCTTTGGGCACGTGTTCTTCAGGGCTAACCAACCTGCAAAATCCTCGCCAAGACCCCCCCCCGCGTCGCCAACACGCCCGACACCACCAGCCGCCTGGGGCGTCTGGGCATCGGTTCTTCAGGGCCACCCACCCTGCAAAATAGGTTCCCAGGCCGCCGTTCCACACGCCGACAAAGACGGGACATGTTTGCGTGATTGTATTTTTCTTGTTCGAACCCTCGCCCAGGCTGTTCGGATGCTTGGTTGGATTCGATTTGTTGGTCACTAGCTTTCCAACAGTGTTAGTTTCCTATGCCGACGCCCCGAACGCCGACTAGATTCCGGCATGACAGAGTTGTTGTAATTTCGGGGGTCGTCGCAATGATTAGTTTGATGCTATTGGACGGTCGCTTCGCTTCGGAGTATCTATATCCGAGTGCTCCTGCCTGTCGTCGTCCTCTTCCCCATTCCTCCTCCTTCTCGCCATCCTTGAACATCAAATGTTCCTTCCCATGGATCATCATATCGAACACGTTCACGCACGCAAATGGCAATGAAACAACACAGCAAGGAAGTAATGGTACACATCAGACACGCAGCAACGCAACAAACAAGTACCACAACACGTAATACAATAAGCAGGAAACACACGAGTTACCAACCAACATATTAACTCCTACTCCGGCTACTGCTACTACGACTACGACGACGGAAACTACTACTACTACTACTACTACTACTACTACTACTACTAGCCCTACTACTCCTGCTGCTACTACGCTTACGACTACGACTACGACTACGACTACTACTACGACTACTACTACTACTACTACTACAACGACTACGACGACGACGACGACTAGTACTACTACTACTACTACTACTACTACTACTACTACTACTACGACTACTACTACTACTACTACTACTACTGATACGACTGCTACTACTACTACTACGACTACGACTGCGACGACTACTACTACTACTACTACTACCACTACTACTACTACTACTACTACTACTGTTACTACTACTACTACTACTACTACTACTACTACTATCACTACTACTTCTACTACTACTACTACTACTACTACTACTACTACGACTACTATTACTACTACTCCTACTACTAGGACTACTACTAGGACTACTAGGACTACAACTACTACTACTACTACTACTACTACTACTACTAGTACGACTACGACTACACTACTACTACTACTGCTACTACTACTACTACTACAACTACTACGGCTACTACTACTACTACTACTCCTACTACTACGACTCCTCCTCCTACTACTACTACTACTATTACTACTACTACTACTACGACTACGACTACGACTACGACGACTACTACTACTACTACTACTACTACTGCTACCACCACTACTACTACTACTACTACTACTACTACTACTACTACTACCACTATGACAGCTCCTACGACAAGTCCTACTACTAGTACTACGACTACCACTACTACTACTACTACGACTACTACTACTACTGCTACTACTACTACTACTACTACTACTACCTACGGTCACCTACTATTACGTCTACTACTACTACTACTACTACTACTACTACGACTACTACTACTACTACTCCTGCTACTACTACCACTAACACTACCTTTACGGCTACTAGTACTACTACTCTGGGTACTACTACTACTACTACTACTACTACTACTACTACGACTACTACTACTACTACTACTACTACTACGACTACGACTACGACTACGACTACGACGACTACTACTACTACTACTACTACTAACTACTACTACTAGCACTACTACTACGACGACGGCTACTACTACTTCTACTACTACTAC